TAATAGCCACTGATGGACCTCTGCTCCATATGCTTATCTAATTCCCTTTTGAAGCCGTCCATGCTTGTAGCTGCCACCACTTCCTGTGGCAGTGAATTCCAAGTGTTAATCACTCTTTGGGTGAAGAAGTACTTCCTTTTATCCGTTCTAACCCGACCGCTCAGCAATTTCATGGAGTGCCCACGGGTTCTTGTATTGTGAGAAAGGGTTTATATAGCGGCATTATGATATTGGCTGATCTGTTTACAATACCCTTCCTAATAATCCCCAGCATAGCATTGGCCTTCTTTATTGCAGTCACACACTGTCTCGACATTTTCAGTGAGTTATCTACTACAACTCCAAGATCTCTCTCTTGATCTGTCTCTGCCAGTTCAGACCCCATCAACGTGTATTTATAGTTAGGATTTTTGGCTCCAATGTGCATCACCTTGCACTTGGCCACATTGAACCCCATTTGCCATGTTGACGCCCACTCGCCCAACTTTGACAGATCCCTTTGGAGTGCCTCACAATCCTCACTGGTTTTCACCACCCTGAACAACTTCGTATCATCCGCAAATTTAGCCACTTCACTGCTTACTCCCAACTCCAAATCATTAATGAACAAGTTAAAAAGCAGTGGACCAAGTACTGATCCCTGTGGTACCCCACTGCTTACACCCCTCCACTGGGAGAACTGCCCATTTATACTCACTCTCTGTTTTCTATTAATTAGCCAGTTTTTGATCCATAAAAGGACTTGTCCTTTTATCCCATGATTTTTGAGCTTGCTTAGGAGCCTTTGATGAGGAACTTTATCAAAAGCTTTCTGGAAGTCAAGGTAAACAATATCTATTGGATCCCCCTTGTCCACATGTTTGTTCACCCCCTCAAAGAACATTAACAGGTTAGTGAGACAAGATCTTCCCTTACAGAACCCATGTTGAGTCTGCCTCAATAGGTTTTGTTCATCTATGTGCCTACTAATTCTTTCCTTAATAATGGTTTCCACCAATTTACCCGGTATCGACGTCAGACTGACTGGCCTGTAATTTCCCGGATCTCCTCTGGAACCCTTTTTAAAGATGGGAGTGACATTAGCTACCTTCCAGTCCTCAGGAATGGAGGCTGATTTTAAGGAGAGATTACATATTTTTGTCAGGAGATCCACAAGTTCACAATTGAGTTCTTTCAGAACTCTTGGATGTATGCCATCTGGGCCTGGTGATTTATCAGTTTTTAAGTTGTTTATCAGTTTTAGGACCTCCTCTCTCGTCACCTCAATCTGACTCAGGTCTTTCAACACCCCTCCCGAACTCAGCGGCTCTGGAGTGGGCAAGCACCTCTCATCTTCCACAGTGAAGACGGAGGCAAAAAATGCATTTAGCTTCTCAGCCATTTCCCTATCATCCTTCAGTACTCCTTTTACCCCTTGGTCATCCAAGGGCCCCACTGCCTCCCTGGCTGGTTTCCTGTTTCTAATGTATTTGAAGAAAGTTTTATTGTTGGTCTTTACATTTTTTGCTATATGCTCCTCATATTCCCTTTTTGCATGCCTGACCACAGACTTGCATTTTATTTGCCATAGCCTGTGTTCTGTTTTATCAGCCTCACTGTGAATGAAGAAATGAGATTGGAAATCCCAGAAACGAAATGCTTTAAAGTTGAGATGGAAAGCACAGCAGTTTATTTGCCTGGATTGAAAGGATTTCAAGACATTACGATGGAAGAGCGAAAGATTGCCCTTAACATGACTAATATATTCTTTTTGGATATACAAAGTGAACAAAGAGAATGCTCTACCCCTATATTGAAATATTATAGAAACAATCCTCAGTTGCAGTGCAGAACAAATGACATTGGGAATTCAAGAAGGGGAGAAAGAAAAAAAGGGAGTGGAGGGGGAAAGAAACTATTTAAGATAGAAGTGCTACAGCAATTTTTTTTAATTTGAACTGGAAATTAATGGAAATTAATGATTAAATATAGTTATGTGATATGTAACAAAGCTGTAGCTGAGTAAGCTCAGAAACTGAAATTGAATTAAAATTGAAAGCAAGGGAAATAAGGCAGAAATGGTGATATAAGAAATCTTATAGAAGCCTTTGGGTAGTAGAACCTTAAGGATGAAATTGTTATAGCAGCGAAAATTATTCTTCAACTGGAAATGATTATAAGACAGAATGTGTGTTAAGGATATTTGATATGGAATGTAGTAGAAGTTATTTTTAAATAGAATTGTGTGATATTCATTACTGTTATAGATGCCTAATCTAGAAGAAGAAATTGAATTAAAATTGAAACTAAAGTAAACAATGGCTATAAGATAGACTTACTGATAACAAGATGTACTATTTTAGGAAATCTTAAAGATAGAGACGGAGTGATCCCTGGTGGCCGGAGTGGAGAAACATCTGGCGGCAGCGATGGCGGAGGCGGGAGATGCACGGCGGTGTGTGACGCAGGCACGGCGGTGCCTGATGGACAGAGCTGGGGCCGGAAGCACACACGAGCCGTGCGCCTACGCAGTCCTGCCGGCAGTTGCTGTGGGAACATTGGAGGCCTTGCGGGACGCCGTGCTGAGCCAGCAACCAAGAAATATCAAGAGGACGCCATGTCGACCCAGCCGCCGGTGGGAGAGACCGAGCTAGACGCCGAAGCCGAGCCAGCAGACAGAGAGACCATCAAGGATCCCACCACCAGGGTGCTGGTAGGCAGTCCCACCCCCAAACATTAGATGTGGCCCAAGTTAGGAGTACAAGTTCTTAGAACACAAAAATATGTGAACCGCCCAGAGACCCCCCTTGGGGGGGTTAGGGCGGTATATCAAATCTAAAGTTAAATAAATAAATAAAAAATAGAAGCCTCTGGTATAGTGTTTGTTAAAGTGTACTTGCCAGGATGTTTTCATTATAAGATAGTTGTGGAAATCGGGGAAAACTTTAAGATTTATGGGAGCTAGATCACGGAAATCAATAAATATGAAAAAAAATATGTTAAAGTTGAGAAGCTAGTTAGACATTAAGAGATATCATTAACTTTCAGTTCTTTATTCTTCCATGTTATTAATCCTTTTTTTCTTTCCTTAATAAATTATACAATGATTGAGTACCGGTACAGAATTAAGCGATTAGCTATAACCAATGCTCCCTCCAAGCTGTGGAGTCTTGTGAGCAGAAATTCTACTTTTTGAGCTACTGGCATTAAAGTTGTGAGCGAGCGATTTGGCTACTGCATACATTAATTTGCTCTGGAGCAGTTTTTTCTGAGTTAAGACAAAAATATGTGAGCTGGAGGCTAAAAAACTGTGAGCTAGCGCACACTAATTCAGCTTGGAGGGAATACTGGCTATAACATATGAATTACCAAATGGTATAAGTAGAAGGATTAATGTAATACTGTATGTGGAAGTAAGTGTAAGCAAGAAATTTCTTTTTTATAATACTGTACTTTTTTCTTATCCCATACCCCTAGCCCTTTTTCTAAATAATACTCAATAAAAATTATATTGGGGGGGGGATCTTGCAAAGGCACCTTACTCAACAGATAGACCGGGGGGGGGGGGGGGGGACTGACTTTGCTCTCCTTACTGCTGCAGAACTATAATTGGAGAAGCTGTCCTCCATCATCCTAAAGCCGTTTCCTCTTCCCAGGTTTTATTCCCCCCGTTTCTACTCCAGCCTACCCTCTTTCCCCACTTCCAGGTCCGACAGCTTCTCTTTCGCCTGCCTTGCTTCCTTGCTCCCTTGGTCTCACCGACACACACGGAGCTGGCCCCAGGATCTGCGTGTGGCAGGGAGGTCTCTATCACACAGCACGCAGACCCAGCTGGGAGGCTTCCCCTACCCAGTGGTTTAAACAACGCCAGGAGAAGCTGGCCCCAGAATCGGTCTGTGGTGGGGAGGTCCCTTGCTACTGCACGCAGACTTCTCCGGGTACAGGAAATGGGCGTCCGCTGGTGAAGAAGACAGCATGGGCCCAGGGGATCTTCTGGCTGGGCACAGAAGAAGCAGGCGGAAATGAGGCCAAGCAAGCTGATAAGCTGAACTCAGGGGCAGCTTGGACCAGCAGGGGAGGGGGCAGAGAGAAGAGAGCCATGGGTTGAATTAAAGTCCTGGGCAGGCCGAAACTGGCCTACAGACCATAGGTTTGACACTCCTGCCCTAATGCTTTATCTAAGCCACTTTATGAGTCATTGAGTACAGAGCAACTCTCTTGCCTGGGTAGAAAAGCTCTCTTGAATCATTCAGTTTTGCATCATTTGTGGAAAGCCAGAAGAGAGTGAGCCTTCCGGACTTCCTCAGACAGGCCACTCCAGAAGGTGGGGGCCACAAGTCATGAGATTTCAGGACCTCTTTGAGGAAAAACCCCCAACCCAAAGATTTAATCCCTCCAACTATCTTGAATGTACTTCAGCTGGCAGAGCCCATCCTTGTTTTCTTCCTTGTGGGATCTATCTGAGGGCTTCAAAGATGGCTAAAATTACTTCTATAGTTTGAGTATTTATAGCGTTTCTTCCAAGTTAGGGTACAATTTCTGTGTAGATTAATACTCCTGACAAATGTTTATATTGTTCTGATGCTTTATGTGGTCTGAGGTTGTCTTTTAGCCTTTTCAGGGCTAAGCGGTTGCCTGGTTTCTCCTTCGGAGGGCTCTTACATATTTATGAAAAGTGCTACTCCAACTCAATCTCTTTCCATGTTCTGAGCATTCAAAGGGTTTCTCCCCATGTGGGTGTCTTTGATGCTGCTGAAGACTCCCACTCTGACGGAATCTCTTCCCACACTCTGAGCATTCAAAAGGTTTCTATATGTGGGTTCTGAGATGACACTCCGATTAAATCTCTTTCCACACGCTGAGGATTCAAAAGGTTTCTTGCATGTGTGGGTTTTTTGACACCGTTGAAGATTACCACTCATTCTAAATCCCATTCAGCACCCTGAGCATTCAAAATATTTGTTCCCTGATGCTGTTGAAGACTGCTACTCTCACTGAATCTCCTTCCATACTCTGAGCACTCAAACGGTTTTTCCTGTGTGCGTTCTTTCATGTCTCTGAAGATCACTGCTTGTACTGACTCTCTTTCCGCACTCTGAGCATTCAAAAGGTTTCTCCCCTGTGTGGGTTCTTTTATGCCTCTGAAGACTGCTACTCTCAGTGAATCTCTTTCCACACTCTGAGCATTCAAAAGGTTTCTCCCCTTTGTGCATTCTTTGATGATATTGAAGACCGCCACAAGTACTGAATCTCTTTCTGCACTGTGAGCATTCATAAGGTTTCTCCCCTGTGTGGGTTCTTTGATGACACTGAAGACTCTCACTCTGACTAAATTTCTTTCCACACTCTGAGCACTGAAAAGGTTTCTCTCCCGTGTGGGTTCTTTGATGCCGCTGAAGATTGCTACTCTCACTGAATCCCTTTCCACACTCGGAGCATTCAAAACGTTTCTCCCCTGTGTGCGTTCTTTGATGCTTCTTAAGATCGCTGCTTGTAGTGACTCTCTTTCCACACTCTGAGCATTCAAAAGGTTTCTCCCCTGTGTGGGTTCTTTGATGATATTGAAGACCGCCACAACTACTGAATCTCTTTCCACACTCTGAGCATTCATAAGGTTTCTCTCCTGTGTGGGTTCTTTTATGAAACTGAAGACTGCTACTCTCAGTGAATCTCTTTCCACACTCTGAGCATTCAAAAGGTTTTTCCCCTGTGTGCGTTCTTTGATGCTTCTTAAGATCACTTCTCGTACTGACTCTCTTTCCGCACTCTAAGCATTCAAAAGGTTTCTCCCCTGTGTGCGTTCTTTGATGCTTTTGAAGACCGCCACAAGTACTGAATCTTTTTCTGCATTCTGAGCATTCATAAGGTTTCTCCCCTGTGTGGGTTCTTTGATGACACTGAAGACTCTCACTCTGACTGAATTTCTTTCCACACTCTGAGCATTGAAAAGGTTTCTCCCCCGTGTGAGTTCTTTGATGCCGCTGAAGACTGCTACTCTCACTGAATCTCTTTCCACACTCTGAGCATTCAAACGGTTTCTCCCCTGTGTGGGTTCTTTGATGCCTTTGAAGTTCGCTGCTTGTAATGACTCTCTTTCCGCACTCTGAGCATTCATAAGGTTTCTCCCCTGTGTGGGTTCTCTGATGACTTTGAAGACCGCCACAAGTACTGAATCTCTTTCCACACTCTGAGCATTCATAAGGTTTCTCCCCCGTGTGCGTTCTTTGATGACACTGAAGACTGCTACTCTCACTGAATCTCTTTCCACACTCTGAGCATTCATAAGGTTTCTCCCCCGTGTGCGTTCTTTGATGCCTTTGAAGTTTGCTGCTCGTACTGACTCTCTTTCCGCAGTCTAAGCATTCAAAAGGTTTCTCCCCTGTGTGGGTTCTTTGATGATATTGAAGACCGCCGCAAGTACTGAATCTCTTTCCACACTCTGAGCATTCAAAAGGTTTCTCCCCTGTGTGGGATCTTTGATGACACTGAAGACTCCCACTGTGACTGTATTTCTTTCCACACTCTGAGCATTGAAAAGGTTTCTCCCCTGTGTGGGTTCTTTGATGATATTGAAGACCGCCGCAAGTACTGAATCTCTTTCCACACTCTGAGCATTCAAAAGGTTTCTCCCCTGTGTGCGTTCTTTTATGCTTTTGAAGATCGCTGCTCCTACTGATTCTCTTTCCGCAGTCTGAGCATTCAAAAGGTTTCTCCCCTCTGTGGGTTCTTTGATGCCGCTGAAGAGTGCTACTTTGACCGAATCTCTTTCCACATTCTGAGCATTCAAAAGGTTTCTCACCTGTGTGGGTTCTCTGATGACATTGAAGAACGACATTGTAACTGAATCTCTTTCCACACTCTGAGCATTCATAAGGTTTCTCCCCTGTGTGTGTTCTTTGGTGCCGCTGAAGACTGCCACTCCCACTGAATCTCCTCCCACATTCTGAGCATTCAAATGGTTTCTCCCCTGTGTGTGTTCTTTGGTGCCGCTGAAGACTGCCACTCCCACTGAATCTCCTCCCACATTCTGAGCATTCAAATGGTTTCTCCCCTGTGTGTGTTCTTTGGTGCCGCTGAAGACTGCCACTCCCACTGAATCTCCTCCCACATTCTGAGCATTCAAATGGTTTCTCCCCTGTGTGTGTTCTTTGGTGCCGCTGAAGACTGCCACTCCCACTGAATCTCCTTCCGCACTCTGAGCATTCAAAAGGTTTCTCCCCTGTGTGGGTTCTTTGATGATACTGAAGACTCTCACTGTGACTGTATTTCTTTCCACACTCTGAGCATTGAAAAGGTTTCTCCCCCGTGTGGGTTCTTTGATGCCGCTGAAGACTGCTACTCTCACTGAATCTCTTTCCGCACTCTGAGCATTGAAAAGGTTTCTCCCCTGTGTGCGTTCTTTGATGCTTTTGAAAATCGCTGCTGTTACTGACTCTCTTTCCGCACTCTGAGCATTCAAAAGGTTTCTCCCCTCTGTGGTTTCTCTGATGATAATGAAGACCGCTACGCGTACGGAATGTCTTTCCACACTCTGAGCACTCAAAACGTTTCTCCGCTGTGTGGGTTCTTTGATGACACTGAAGAACGCCATTGTAACTGAACTTCTTTCCACACTCTGAGCATTCAAAAGGTTTCTCCCCTGTGTGGGTTCTTTGATGACACTGAAGACTACCATTGTGACGGAATCTCTTTCCACACGCTAAGCATTCAAAAGGTTTCTCCGCAGTATGCGTTCTTTGATGCCGCTGAAGAACACTACTGTCACCGAATCTCTTTCCACACTCTGAACAGTCAAAAGGTTTCTCCCCTGTGTGGGTTCTCTGATGTTGCTGAAGATAGGTACTCCGACTGCATCTCTTTCCACACTCTGAGCATTCAAAAGGTTTCTCTCCTGTGTGTGTTCTCTGATGCAGCTGAAGATTTCCACTCTGAGTGAATCTCTTTCCACACTCTGAGCATTCAAAAGGTTTCTCCCCTGTGTGGGTTCTCTGATGTTGCTGAAGATAGGTACTCCGACTGCATCTCTTTCCACACTCTGAGCATTCAAAAGGTTTCTCCCCTCTTTTTAGTCTTAGGTTCACTAGAAGCTGTGACCTATATTTGGTGTACTTTCTGTACTGAACAGATTTTTTGGTATTCATTATATTGTACTTTGGAAACTGTCTTCCATCTCTCTTCTCAACCACATGGCCGCCTTTCTTTCTCACAGGTCTGCTTCGATTCGTGACCTTTCCTTTTAAATCTTCATTATTAACTTTATCTGGCAATTGCAGATGAAGTTCCTCATTCTTTTCATTCTGCTGATTGTTTTCTGCTGGAATAAAGAGAGAGCATTTATTTATTAGTTTGGTTTGTTTACTGCCCTCGTGGCGAGCGAGCTCAGGGCAGTTCACATCAAAGATTCATGTGATCTGAAGAGAAACCAGAGTAGATCCTAGATATCCAGAAACAGACTATCTTGTTCTATTGAACACAAAACTTGCTCCGCTTTAGCATTTGGTATCTTTCCAGAATATGGACTACCTGTTGCTTACCTTTCCCAGATTACCTCACCCCAGTTACGCCGCTCTTTTATGTTAGGAAGTTTTAATGTTTTACCTTCAGCAGTATTCTCTGGGAGGTTTGCCAACACCTCCTATCAAGGAAGACTTTGCCAATGTAAAGGAAGGAACCCAGAAACGGTAGCCCATGTTCGACTTCATTGTGATCTTTATGAGGATGTGCGGGACTGTATAATTAAACCTATTGGGTCTAACTTTCACGGTCTATCTGAGGGAAAGTTAGTATCTCTTTTACTATATGACCGATGTTCCCACATTACAAGTTCATTTGCAAGGTACCTTCTGGTTGCCATAACAATCAGGGGGCAAAACTGTAGCTCTTGTGTGATGCTTGATGGTTTTTATAACTGAAATTTTCTGTAAACTGGCCATGTTGTACCCCTTTTCTTTTTATGCCAATAAAGGTATTTGGATTGGATTGGTTCACATCAAAGTCATATAAAACACATCAAATCTATTAAATAGTTTATGATACAATTCTAGTGCCCAATAACTGTATGGCGCCATCAAACAATTCTGGACCCCTATTTACATTGGGGGAAAGCCGACAGGAGACGAAAAGTCTCTGGTTCGGGTTGGCTCATCTCAGAGAGATGAGGGGGTACCTGTTGCTTTTCTACAGGGAGGTGGATTGAAATTGTCCACTGAGACCATGGCTAGTGACATGGACTGCCTGACAAGGTCTCGAGATAGCATGAGGAAGGTGGCAGGCTTAACCAGTATGGGAAATTACAGCTGTTTCTATACAAATGCTCAAAGTGTCCGAGGTAAAATCGGGGAGTTGGAGAGCTTGGTGTCGGAGGGAAAAATAGACATTGTGGGTATTTCAGAAACTTGGTGGGATGAGGAAAATCAGTGGGATACGGTGATTCCCGGTTATATATTATATCGGAAGGATAGGGGGGGAAGGGTTGGAGGTGGGGTGGCTCTGTATGTCAGAGAGGGTATAAAGTCCAGAAAGATTGAGAGGCTAAGATAATTGGATTCGCTTCTTGAAGTTCTGTGGGTTGAAATAGGGGGGCCAAAAGGAAACTTAACACTGAGAGTTTGTTATCGCCCACGGGATCAAAAGGTAGAGGAGGATTATAAAATGATGAATGAATTAAAGATAGCAGCTAGACAAAAACACTGTGTCGTAATAGGTGATTTTAACTACCCACACATTGATTGGGTCAATATGTGTTCTAGTCGAGAGAAAGAGATTGAGTTTCTAGACACTCTAAATGACTGTGCTATGGAGCAGATGGTCATGGAACCTACCAGGGGAGAGGCGATCCTTGATTTGGTCCTAAGTAACACTCAAGACCTGGTGAGAGATGTAAAAGTGATTGCACCGCTTGGGAACAGTGATCATAATGTTGTTGAGTTCAACATTTGTACAAATAGGGAATTGGCCAAAAAGACTCACACAACCACTTTTAACTTTAAAAGGGGTAATTTTTCTGATATGAGGGGACATGTGGGGAGGAAACTGAAGGGAAAAGTAGAAAGGGTCAAAACCATTGGGGAAGCTTGGAAACTGTTTAAAACTACAATTCTAGAAGCTCAAATAAAATATATTCCGCAGGTTAGGAAAGGCACAAACAGGTATAAGAAAAAGCCTACATGGTTAACAAACAAAGTAATGGAAGCTGTAAAAGGTAAAAAGGATTCCTTTAAGCGGTGGAAAGCTAGTCACAGTGAGGCTGATAAAACAGAACACAGGCTATGGCAAATAAAATGCAAGTCTGTGGTCAGGCATGCAAAAAGGGAATATGAGGAGCATATAGCAAAAAATGTAAAGACCAACAATAAAACTTTCTTCAAATACATTAGAAACAGGAAACCAGCCAGGGAGGCAGTGGGGCCCTTGGATGACCAAGGGGTAAAAGGAGTACTGAAGGATGATAGGGAAATGGCTGAGAAGCTAAATGCATTTTTTGCCTCCGTCTTCACTGTGGAAGATGAGAGGTGCTTGCCCACTCCAGAGCCGCTGAGTTCGGGAGGGGTGTTGAAAGACCTGAGTCAGATTGAGGTGACGAGAGAGGAGGTCCTAAAACTGATAAACAACTTAAAAACTGATAAATCACCAGGCCCAGATGGCATACATCCAAGAGTTCTGAAAGAACTCAATTGTGAACTTGTGGATCTCCTGACAAAAATATGTAATCTCTCCTTAAAATCAGCCTCCATTCCTGAGGACTGGAAGGTAGCTAATGTCACTCCCATCTTTAAAAAGGGTTCCAGAGGAGATCCGGGAAATTACAGGCCTGTCAGTCTGACGTCGATACCGGGTAAATTGGTGGAAACCATTATTAAGGAAAGAATTAGTAGGCACATAGATGAACAAAACCTATTGAGGCAGACTCAACATGGGTTCTGTAAGGGAAGATCTTGTCTCACTAACCTGTTAATGTTCTTTGAGGGGGTGAACAAACATGTGGACAAGGGGGATCCAATAGATATTGTTTACCTTGACTTCCAGAAAGCTTTTGATAAAGTTCCTCATCAAAGGCTCCTAAGCAAGCTCAAAAATCATGGGATAAAAGGACAAGTCCTTTTATGGATCAAAAACTGGCTAATTAATAGAAAACAGAGAGTGAGTATAAATGGGCAGTTCTCCCAGTGGAGGGGTGTAAGCAGTGGGGTACCACAGGGATCAGTACTTGGTCCACTGCTTTTTAACTTGTTCATTAATGATTTGGAGTTGGGAGTAAGCAGTGAAGTGGCTAAATTTGCGGATGATACGAAGTTGTTCAGGGTGGTGAAAACCAGTGAGGATTGTGAGGCACTCCAAAGGGATCTGTCAAAGTTGGGCGAGTGGGCGTCAACATGGCAAATGGGGTTCAATGTGGCCAAGTGCAAGGTGATGCACATTGGAGCCAAAAATCCTAACTATAAATACACGTTGATGGGGTCTGAACTGGCAGAGACAGATCAAGAGAGAGATCTTGGAGTTGTAGTAGATAACTCACTGAAAATGTCGAGACAGTGTGTGACTGCAATAAAGAAGGCCAATGCTATGCTGGGGATTATTAGGAAGGGTATTGTAAACAGATCAGCCAATATCATAATGCCGCTATATAAATCAATGGTGCGACCTCATCTGGAATACTGTGTGCAATTCTGGTCACCACACCTTAAAAAGGATATTATAGCTTTGGAAAAAGTGCAGAAAAGAGCAACTCGAATGATAAAAGGGTTGGAACACTTTCCCTATGAGGAACGGTTAAGGCGCTTAGGGCTCTTTAGCTTGGAGAAACGACGACTGAGGGGTGACATGATTGAGGTTTATAAGATTATGCATGGGAAAGAGCAGGTAGAGAAAGAGGTACTTTTCTCCCTTTCTCACAATACAAGAACCCGTGGGCACTCCATGAAATTGCTGAGCGGTCGGGTTAGAACGGATAAAAGGAAGTACTTCTTCACCCAAAGAGTGATTAACACTTGGAATTCACTGCCACAGGAAGTGGTGGCAGCTACAAGCATGGACGGCTTCAAAAGGGAATTAGATAAGCATATGGAGCAGAGGTCCATCAGTGGCTATTAGCCACAAGGTATAGATAGGGACTCTGGGGCAAGTGATGCTCTGTCATCTTGGTGCTTGGGGGGGGGTCAACAGTGGGAGGGCTTCTAATGTCCTGGCCCCACTGGTGGACCTCCTGATGGCACTGGTATTTCTGGCCACTGTGGGATACAGAGTGTTGGACTGGATGGGCCTTTGGCCTGATCCAACATTGGCATCTCTTATGTTCTTATGTTCTTATGTTCTCTAATCTGGGAGAACCAGGTTTGATTCCCCACT